GGTGCAATCTCAGCTCACCGCAACCTCCACCTCCTGGGTTCAGGTGATTCTCCTGCCTCAGCCTCCCAAGTAACTGGGATTGCAGGCATGCACCATCAGGCCCGGCTAATTTTGTATTTTTAGTAGAGACAGGGTTTCTCCATGTTGGTCTCCAACTCCCGACCTCAGGTGACCTGCCCACCTCGGCCTCCCAAAGTGCTGGGATTACAGGCGTGAGCCTACAGGTGAATTTTTTAATTAGCTTCATATTGACCAACATTAAACGTGAGACACAAGAATGGGCTGCGCTCCATGCCACATGAAATGCAGTTGAGTTGAGTTGACGTGCAGGTCTGTCAGAGTCAGGAAACAAGCTACATGCAACCTTGAAGGAAGAGTTGCGTTTGAGCAGCGGGCGCGGACGGGTGGATGGAGCAGTAAGGTGGAAGGTTCTGATACGGTCTAAAACGTGGGTTAGGACCAGATCACAGAGTTTACCTGGAGGACTATGAGTTTGGCAGAGGCAAGGGAAGCCATTGGAGATTTAGCAGGGGAATGGCTTCGTCTAAATTCATTTGAGAACGAGTGCCCTGGCAGCAGTAAATAGGGCAAGTGGTTGGGAATGGGGAGAATCTTGCTGGCACCCATGGGAAACATGGTGAAACATGGTGGCCTCGGTGTGCTGGCTGCGGGGCACAAAGGACAGGTCCAGGGGAAACTTTATAGAGGAACTCAGCTGTGCGATGCCATGCCGGAGACCACTGGCTGCAGAGGGCTACAAGCACTGAGAATGTGGCTGGGTCAAATTCTGAAGCACTGACAGTACAAAATACACAGAGATTTCCAAGAAAGGAGAACATAAGACATCTCATTAGTAAAGCTTTATATTGGTTACATGTTGAAATAAAATTTCCGATCTATTGGGTTAAACAAATTTTGATTCTTTTCCTTTTATTTCCAGAGTCTTGCTCTGTTACCCAGGCTGGAGTGCTCCTTTTACTTGTTCAAGTGGTTTCTGGCACACTTGTAATGCCAGCACTTTGGGAGGCCAGGGCATGATTTGAGCCCAGGAGTTCCAGGCCAGACTGGGCCACGTAGGGAGACCCCATCACTACACAAAATTTTAAAATCAGCTGGGCATGGTGGCGCCACACCTATGGTCCCAGCTATGGGAGGCTGAGACAGCAGGATCACTTGAGCCTGATTGGTTGAAGCTGCAGTAACCATGATTACACTACTACACTCCAGCCTGAGTGACAGAGCAAGACCCTGTCTCAAAAAATAAAGTGGCGCCTGGAAAGTTTAAAAGTATAGATATGTGGTTCTCAGTTATATTGCTGTTGGACAGCCCTGATGTAGACAGCCTTAGCTATTAACAGCTATGGAAAAAGGCAGGAGGTGGGTACTTGAGGTGAGAGTAATACCATTTACAGGATACAGAGGGAAAAGGTGGAGTGTGAGGTGCTGATTGCTGGGTCTAGGGATGGGTCATGGTTTTGGTGGCAAGAGAGACACTAGAAATGTAGGTTTGTAGTTGTCCACTCAGGGGCTTTGGACTCTGAGGAAGAGGGTGAAGAGAGGAGGTCCCTGGACCTTGAATTGAGCCTGTATTTGAGATGGAGGAAATCCAGAGAAAAAGGCCAATGATGGCAGAGGAGACTCAGATCTGAGTGGTGTACAAGCCAGAAGAAAGTACATTTCAGGAAGAAAAAGCCTCAACATACAAACAGAAAAATAGGGTTCTTTTTCAGTTGCAGTGTGCACGCTGCCTTCTTAAACAGAAGAGATTGGACTTCCCTTGGGCTGCCTTGGAGACCTAGTGCTGTCATTGTGGATTCTGGCTACATGCCACTGCCTGACCCGGAAGGGTGGGCTGTTTCCTCCACCTCAAGGGGTCCCAACTGCTGGGCTTTTATGAGCGGCACATTCTTCTGCCATCAGCGTGTCAGCCTCCAGAGCTCTACTGACTCCAGTTAATGTGCTGCTTCTGACGTGCTGCCAACTGGAAGTCAGTATTTGGGAGAGAGAAAATAACCTATGTCTAAGAATGAAAAGATAGACCCTCTTGTGAACCCTCAGGGGACTCAGTGACATGATGTTGCTCCTCTGGACCTTTCTTTGTGTCCTCTGTACCAGGGAGGACTCCAGACAGGTCATACGTGCTCATGAAGACGTTGCTCTGCTGGTCTCACATGGTTGGAAGGACTTGTGTGAAGTGGTCAGCAAGGAAACTTAGGTAGACGTGGAAAATGGGCTGCCTGTGGGAAGCTCACAGGTCTTTTGGAGGGAGGTGATATTTCATTTGTTAACAGGATTCAGGCATAATGGTTTAGCTGAAACCTTCCTCAAGTTCCCTTAAAGCCTTGGTCATCTCTGTTGTTTTTCTCCAAAGAAATCTCTGCCAGTACATTTTTCATATTACATGCTTATTCATGCGAAGAAGTATGAGTGGTTTTCTAATCTGCTTTTTTCTTCGTAGAACCACCACCACCTAAAATTCCCAAAATTGAGACCACTCACCCACCGTTGCCTCCAGCCCACCCACCTCCAGGTAAGCATCTACCGAAGCAGCTTGGCCAGCTGTGCACATCGCCACTGAATAGTGGATGCAGCAGGTCCTGGGAGCTTAGAAAAGGAAGACTGTGGGGCCCAGATTGGCAGCGTCAGCCACGGGCAGGAATCTTTGCAAAACTGTTCTCGGGCCGGGCGCAATGGCTCGTGTCTTTGATCCCAGCCCTTTGGGAGGCTAAGGCAGGGGAATCACCTGACCCCAGGAGTTCGAGGTCAGCCTGGGCAACGAAGTGAGACCCTGTCCAAAAAAATTAGCCAGGTGTAGTAGCACACGCCTGTAGTCCCAACTATCATTTGAGCCCTGGGCAGTCAAGTGAGCTATGATTGCACCGCTGCACTGCAGCCTGGGTGAAAGGGAGGCCCTGTCTCAAAAACAAGTTCTCATTTTGACCAAGTATTTTGAGAATGTTGTAAATTGTTAAGTATATCTGAATATTCTCTGACCTCTCACATCCAGAAATGCTAAACTACACATTGTATTAGAATCAGTTTTAGGAAAGAAAGCCAAACCCTGCCAACTGAACGTTTATGCAGATGGAGGCAGGGTTACTGTGGCTGCCAGGCTCTGGCCGTCCCCACACCTGCTTCCTGTTGGTGGTGTGTCATCTTATGCATTTTGAAGAATAAGCAATTGTACAGAGTAAATGAAAGAGTGAAAAGTTCTCAACAGGTACATGGTAAGCTGGAAAGCCTCTCTGATACCACTGGAAATAGAAGAGAAAAGCTGTAAAGTAGATGGCATTCTTTACCTGTGGCACCATTTCAGAAGGTGACACACTAGAGAAGGCCTGAGTGACCTGTGTTTTCTTTCCGAAAGATGGTTAATACTCCGGAGGCTTCCGAGCCTCTGTCAGCAGCTCCTCCAGCCTGCTGCACTCACTGTTGGTTGGTGCACGTGGCTCACACTGGGGCTCACAGCACCGTGTGCCCGTAGCAGATGTGCCACAGATTACATTTCTGTTTTTACTCAATCATGATAGTGTTTGTGCTTTGGGAGAACAGAGGCGTCATTTTCCACTTTGGGCCAAATCCCAAAACCCCCGATTCGATATGAACTTTAGTTAAAAAAATGCTTGCGGCTGCTCATGAAGCATTTAAGGAGCACCTCCTCACCAAGTACAGTTCCCCTGGTCCAAGCCTGGGGCTGTGCCTTCACTGAGGAGACGGATGGTTCACCTGGGGAGCCCGGGGCGGCCAGAGGGGTGCTGTTGCCTCCAGGGCACTGAGTAGCTGCTGTGGAGGCCTCAGAGCTCTGCTCCCTCCCGCATTACAGCCAGCCAGGAGTAGGCCTGGAACTTGAGTGGGACCTGGGAACCAGATACACTGCCAGGAGGCCATGGCTGAAGAGAGCAGGGCCTGGGAGGCGCAGTAAAGCTGGGCCACGAGGAAGGGAGGGAAGCACGCTTCCTGGGAGGCCCTAGACCATGGGAAGAGGTGTTCAGGTCAGCAGTGATGTTTAGGGAGCGGTTTGGTGGCAGTGTATGGCACTTGGTCAGGAGCAAGTGTGCAGAGGGAATGGGGTGCCGAGGATAGACCCCCACTTGCTGTTCCAGCTCAGGCACACAGCACAAGGGCGGGTGCACTGGTGACTTGAAGATTCAGGCTGCAGGGTCGAGTGTTGGAAGAGCTGGCTTCTGCAAGGTAGAGGAGCAGGCCTGTGGGCCCAGGTGGCTGTGGAGTGACACACAGGAGGCATTGAAGGGTGTCAGCGCTTTTCTGCGCCTCTTTTTTAGTCAGCTTCTGGAACCACAGGGCATCTGGCCCTGACCTGGAGCCAAAGCCAGTTCTCTAAGGCCAGGCATATATGGCCTTCCTGCCCAGTGGCTGGCGAGGGCTGATCTGCACAGGCAGGTCCCCAGTGGCACACCTGTTACCAGCCCGATCAATCCTGCTCATGCTCGCTTTGGCAAGATCAAACGGGTTGTGTGCCAATGGCCACGTCTACACAACCAGGATGTCATGCTCTGCCTTCCCTAACCCAAGTGCCTGGGGAACCAGAAGCATCTTCATGGCCTTTGTCCTCTTTATGTTCTCTGGAACCAGAAATGTTGTGCCTATGGTTTGTCTCCTGTGCTGCCTTGGGAAAGGACACTCATTCTGTGTGTTTGGCTACTTGTAGTGGGGTGTTCCGACGCCATTTTCCAGGGGTCTGATGGTGACCAAGAGATCACAGGCCAAAACGTGTTAAATAAGGCTTTGGCGGAAGGGGGCATGAGGGCTCATGGGCTGGGAGGCGCTGCGGGAGGGGACTGAGGCTGGTTCCGAGCACAAGTATCTTGGGTGTGCTCGACACCTAGTGCTGCCTATCCCTGCTGCAAACACAGCAGCATGCACACACACGCATCATGCACACACGCATCATGCACACACACGCAGCATGCACACACAGGCAGCATGCACACACACGCAGCATGCACACACACGCAGCATGCACACACAGGCAGCATGCACACACACGCAGCATGCACACACAGGCAGCATGCACACACACGAAGCATGCACACACAGGCAGCATGCACACACAGGCAGCATGCACACACACGCAGCATGCACACACAGGCAGCACGCTCATGTAGCACGCAGCACGCACGCGCAGCACACCTGCACACACTCCTCTCAAGGAGGCTGCTATCTGAGAGTACGCAGTGGGGTTTGATCTAGCCCCTCTTGAGTGGAATAGAACCTGAATTGCTGCTTCAATGGGTACAGTGGGAATGTCAGAGACTTGTACAGAATTATTTTAAATGCCATCACATTCATTTGACCAACTCTGAGGCTTTCTGCAAAATGCCACTGCTGCAGACAGGAGTTCAGTGTGGCCCTGATTCTTGGGGTCAGTTTCTGAAGGCAGAAAAACAGAGGAGCCCCCACACATTTTACACTAGGAAGAGGGGGCTGGGGCCAGGGCACAAGGGGGCTTCATGTGCTGCCGAGACTGCCTGCGGGTGGTGTGGTTAGGGCTGAGGGAGGGAAAACCCCAGCTCGTCGCAGACAGGGTGGAGGGCCTTTTTGACAAATGGTGGGGAGACATCTGGTGGCATCAGGACATGGGGCACGGGCCCATGTGTTGGGCCACAGAGGAGGGGGCAGCTGCTCCCTGCTCCTCTGTAAAGATGGCCCTGAAGGGCCAGGAGGCACTGAAAAAGCAGCTATTGCTTGCAGAGGCCGGGCACCAACACATCTCTCTCCTGCAGACCGGAAGCCTCCCCTCGCTGCTGCCTTAGGTGAGGCTGAGCCGCCGGGCCCTGTGGATGCCACTGACCTCCCCAAAGTCCAGATTCCTCCTCCGGCTCACCCGGCCCCTGTGCACCAGCCACCGCCGCTGCCACACCGGCCCCCGCCCCCGCCCCCCTCCAGCTACATGACTGGGATGTCTACCACCAGCTCCTACATGTCTGGAGAGGGCTACCAGAGCCTGCAGTCCATGATGAAGACCGAGGGACCCTCCTACGGTGCCCTGCCCCCTGCATACGGCCCACCTGCACACCTGCCCTACCACCCCCATGTCTACCCACCCAATCCGCCCCCGCCACCTGTGCCTC